GGAAGAAAACAGTGCATAAACTAAGTAAACCTAACATAATGCCACATGAGGTGCAGAGAACATCTGTGGTGCACATCATTACCTGTTTTTGTACTGGTGAGTAAATATGTTACCTTGGTGCTTTTTTGTGACATGTATCTTTGCAAACCATGAGGTGGATAATTGAGCTGTTGTTATAATTAATCATTTGTTATGAATTTTGAGCCCAGATTGCATTTGTCATGACAGCTCTTGGGCTGGTTCACATGTTTATGATCTTTGGACTGTGCGAACACAGCTGTTTGTGCCACCTAGCCATCAGTCCATATCAGCCAATGCTGTTGACTGCAAGGATATCAAAGCAGTATTTCAGCCCTAGTATGTCAAGAAAGCAAATAGCTGCATTCTGACCTGCCAGTCCATGCCAAGTCTAAATGGCAATGCTGCCCTCAGGTACTGATGATGCATTGGATGGGGAAAGACAACATAGTTACACAATTTTTGCCACTAACTATGTAGCATTCATGAGTCATTTCTGTAGCTTAGCTCACTGTTGCAGGCTGCTCACAAATGCATTAGTGTGGGAGTAGGTAATGTGTTTCTTGGGCTGCGCAAAGTAGATGACATGATGCTGGGTGGCATACTGATATGAGTGTGGTAAGTTTGTGAGTGTCGTTGGCCAATACAAGAAAATACTGATTTCCTGCTAGCCAAAGTTTCCCACTAGTAAAAATTTGCATATAACACTGTTTATGTGACAGATTTGGCAGTGCTGACTGTGCAACTCTTGTGTTTCAAGTGCTATGGCTTGTGCTGTAGCTATAAAGCCTATGAGTCCCGCACAGATCATTTTTCCAACGGAGTCCATCTTCCTCCTCGCCCTCAAAGCTGTCTCGCGCCCACCATGGCTCGTGACATTCGCCATCCATACGCAGAGTACCGGCTTTTTTCTTCTTGTTTTGTTCAGTTCGCCTCAAAAGCGCAGTTTTCGCCCATAATCCGTTCCTTGATTCGAACTAAGCGGGATCGAACTATCGACCGTTAATCCGACGTAAAGCCGGTTTCGCCCATGTAAACGCCCCTCGCCGAGAGGGTTAACGTCGCATGATCCGTTCCGATCTTAATTCGAATTATCCTCGGCTGCCCATGTAAACCGGGTAAATGAGAAAATGGCGCAGACTGCGGTTTCTCGCATGAAACTGGATACAGCATCCAGTTTCGTAAAGCATAAGTACAGCTTCACCGTCATGTCAGCGCGTCAGACGGCAAAAGTGGTCCGTCGTGTTTGACTGTTTAAATTTGATGAAAAGCGGGCTCTGCTGCATGTCTGTTCGGTGCCAACGCTGTTCCCCTTTAAGAAGTGTCATGACGGTGGCGATAGCCTTATTCATGTGCGATAGGTGTCTTACGTAAAAAAAGATTGAACAAAACAATGACGTCGCAAGTCAGGAGACCCTACCGCCTTATAAGGCGGCGGGAGGCACTCCAACTAGCGTACATGACTTGTGCACCTTCTCCGCTTTCTGAAATAACATCGCCAGTCGCTCCCTCCCTAATCCCTTCCTGCTCATCTGGTGCGCAGTGCTCCCGGCAGTAGCCGCCGCTGTGCCCGCGGGGCTGGCAGTACGTTCTTCCCGCGTCTCACTGTTTGCCGATCCCTGAGACACTTACCCTGTTTACATGGGCAGCTGTGATTCGAATTAAGCCGGGACCCGTCCTCGATCCGAACTATCCGGCCCATGTATACACTCACGCGCCGTTCCGCTGATTCGAATCGTGCGCCGGAGGAAATCCCTTCCCGTGAGAGGATCATCCGTTCAGGAAGGGATTTCGTCCGAATTATCGGCCGTCAGCTGTCTAAACAAAAAAAAAAGAAAAATGCCTGGCGCACGCAGTTCTGTTCATAGCCATTTCAGCTTTGTGCGGTGTTACCGCTTTTCCACGGGTTTTTAGCTATTGCTCGAGACGGTTCAAGTCCAAGATGGTAAGGGAAAAGAGAAGGAAGGTGAAGTTGACATCATGCTGCTAAAACTACTCTTATTATTGAGGGCCTTGAGTGGCTGGCAGCACAGAAATGCTCACGTAATTTAGCCTTGCTAGGCGCTTGATCTATGCAGACAGCAGGCGTCGACGGTGTTTGGTGCTATCTTTCCACCTAAAGGTTAGATTAGCTTACATCTGGGGCAGGCTCCATGCGTCCAAAAGCCAGATGGAGGTAATATGGTTATTTTATATAGCTTTGACTTGTTCTCATTTTAATTTTTGGATTGCTCAAAATTCTTGCAGAGAATGCCTCCAAGTTTTGTTCATTAAGTTAATACCTTAAGTCCCCAGGAGTGTTTTTGCAGATGTTCCTTAAATTAGGTTGCAGGTTGCTTGTCAGTTTGATTTGTGTGAGAAAGGTAGCTTAAAAATTGCTGCACGATATGACGGATGAACAAATATAGATCATTGCAGTCAGCTCGGAATGTGAACTTTTTAATGGTAGGACCGGAATTGCCCAATGATGGGGTCAAAACAGCAAGAAAGCAAATGTGAACACTGGATGAAAATAGTTGTCATCATTTCTCTGCTAAATCCAAGTTTGTGTGTTCCATGTGCAGGAAAACAGTGCATAAACTAACACCTAACACGATGGCACATGCTGCATGGAGAGCACGTCTGTGTTGCATATCATCACCTGTTTTTGTGCTGGTGATTAAATATGTCACCTTGGTGCTTTTTTGTGATGGGTGTCTTTGCAGGCCACGAGGTAGGTAATTCAACTGTTCAACAATTCTTGCAGGGAGTACCAATAGTTTCTTTCATTAGGTGAATACATAAATGCCCCAGGATTGATTTTGCAGACATTCCTCCTGTGACTTGAACATTTGGTTGACCACCTATTGGCAGGAGGGATGTGCTGGATATTGGTGACTGGCTTGTCAAGGAAATATGAAGTTACATCACACTGGTAGACCAACTGGCAAGGAAGCGGGGGCTGGAATATTTGTTTTTGATGCAATTGGGCTGTTTGTTGCTTGTCGGTTTAATGTGTGAGATGGGTAACTCGATAATTCCTGCATGATGCAGAGGATCAACAAATATAGGCAATAGATCATTGCAGTCAGTGCAGAATGTGAACTATTTTTAATGATGGGACCAAAATTGCCCAGTGATGGTTCCAAAATGTCAAGAAAGCAAATGTGAGCACTGGATGAAATTAGCTGTCATCAGTACTCTGTCAAATCCAGGTTTGTGCATTTCATGTGGAAGAAAACAGTGCATAAACTAAGTAAACCTAACCTAATGCCACATGATGTGCAGAGAACATCTGCAGTGCACATCATTACCTGTTTTTGTACTGGTGAGTAAATATGTTGCCTCGGTGCTTTTTTGTGACACGTATCTTTGCAAACCATGAGGTGGATAATTGAGCTGTTGCTATAATTAATCATTTGTTATGAATTTTGAGCCCAGATTGCTTTTGTCATGACAGCTCTGGGGCTGGTTCACGTTATGATCTTTGGACTGTGCGAACACGGCTGTTTGTGCCACCTAGCCATCAGTCCATATCAGCCAATGCTGTTGACTGCAAGGATATCAAAGTAGTATTTCAACCCTAGTATGTCAAGAAAGCAAATAGCTGCATTCTGACTTGCCAGTCCATGCCAAGTCTAAATGGCAATGCTGCCCTCAGGTACTGATGATGCATTGGATGGGGAAAGACAACATAGTTACACAATTTTTGCCACTAACTATGTAGCATTCATGAGTCATTTCTGTAGCTTAGCTCACTGTTGCTGGCTGCTCATAAATGCATTGGTGCGGGATTAGGTAATGTGTTTCTTGGGCTGCGCACAGTAGATGACATGATGCTGGGTGGCATACTGATGAGTGTGGTAAGTTTGTGAGTGTCATTGGCCAATACAAGAAAATACTGATTTCGTGCTAGCCAGTTTCCTGCTAGTAAAAATTTGCATATAACACTGCTTATGTGACAGATTTGGCAGTGCTGACTGCGCAACTCCTGTGTTTCAAGTGCTATGGCTTGTGCTGTAGCTACAAAGCCTATGAGTCCCGCACAGATCATTTTTCCAACGGAGTCCATCTTCCTCCTCGCCCTCAAAGCTGTCTCGCGCCCACCATGGCTCGTGACATTCGCCATCCATACGCAGAGTACCGGCTTTTTTCTTCTTGTTTTGTTCAGTTCGCCTCAAAAGCGCAGTTTTCGCCCATAACCCGTTCCTTGGTTCGAACTAAGCGGGATCGAACTATCGACCGTTAATCCGACGTAAAGCCGGTTTCGCCCATGTAAACGCCCCTCGCCGAGAGGGTTAACAACGTCGCATGATCCGTTCCGATCTTAATTCGAATTATCCTCGGCTGCCCATGTAAACCGGGTAAATGCGGCCGGCCGCCGGCGGCGCCCCCGGCGCCGGCCACGCGGCACCCCTGCCCGCGCCGCGCGGGACACCCGTGGCGCGCGTGGCGTTACCCGTGGCGCGTCGGTGCCGACCCAGACCGGGGTGTCGCGTCGGTCAGGGTCGGCATGACTCTGCGTCGGTGTCCCGCTCACCGGCGGGGCCTTGAAGCCGAGTCGAAAGGTTCCGCCGGACCGCGGCGCTACGTTTGAAGTGTTTTGTGCGTTGAAGCTTATTGCATAAATTAACTAGTTTGCGGTCAGGTATCATGCGTTTAAGTTGTGACCATTTGTACGCAATACTAAGAAATGTTTTCCAAGTTATAGCCTGCCACTGTATGGGGCTTCGAACTCGACTAACACAGCGTGAGCTCAGATCGACAAATAATACAGACATTTTGATTGTTCCGCCCCAAGCTGCCGTTTTTGAAGGCATAGAGCAGACCACCAGGTGTTGAGCTGTCCGGGCTTCCCAATGTCTCGATAGCTTGAAGTTAGTGTATGGTGTGCGCTAGGGTTTTCGGCACAAAAATCACTCTGGGCTCTACAGCCCACACCCGCACAGAGGGGCTGATATTTACGGAGTTAAAGCGCATTTTACAGGTGACCTTACGCTCACCTTCCGGGTACATAGCATGTAGGCGCAGCAGGCTGATGGTCTGTCGGATGGTGCTGCCCTTGTCCAGCTGGCTGCTGATTGCCGAGCTGATGGGCAGCAGGCGGCCCAGCCGGTCGAACTCCAGGTTCTCCTTCTCCCGTCGACTGCGCGCCGCGTTCTTACTCTTCTCCTTCATGGCCGGCGGCCGGCCTGCCGACCCCTGCAACAGGGGACAAAAACATGTGGAGAGAAAGAGTGGGAGAGGGGGAGAGGGGAGAGAGAGAGAAGAGAGAGAGAGGGGAGAGAAAGAGGGAGAGAAGGGGAAAAAGGGGAGAAAGGAGTGAGAGTGAAGGGGGAGAGAGAGGGAGAAAGAGGGAGAGAGAGAGAGGGAGAGGGAGAGGGAGAGGGAGAGGGGGATAGAGGAGAGGAGAGGGGAGGGGAGATAGATCCGGGCATGTATCATTCACTGTTCGACACCCGATATAACCAATGCGGTATATCACAATTCAGTATTTTTGGTGGAAGACGAGACCGGTCGGGTTTGAATGCAGGCTATCAGTTTTGGACACGTAGACGCTTGTTAGCTTGGTGTTTAATTCATTGATATATATATATATAATATATATATATATATATATATATATATATATATTCCGCTGACGTCGGTTTCCTCAGGGGCTTTGGCCATGGACGTAACCCCGCCGTGAGTGCACACTGGATTTCTTTTCTGTTTTGGCACCATTTGAATGGTAAAAAAGCGGCAAAAGTCCAAACGGTCGAAAAGCTCCGGCATTCCGGACCCTACCAACCTCAGTGGTGGTGGGGCTTTGGCGGAGAGATCTCTATCTCCGCGGCTCCTTTAGCTGAAGCGATTTTGACACTTTGAATCCTTGAGGTGATTTCGATTCGTTAGACGATGTTAGATAGGTAAAGCAGACAAAGTAGGCGTCGAAAGTGGGTAGCGTATATTCTCAATTTTCAGTCATCCTTGTGTCCAAGCCATTATTGAGATCATCGTTGCTTTGAAAATACAGTTTTTCTGTGCATCACTGCATGTGTTTGGTTTATTTGTTTGTTGTTCTTATGTCTACTTCAATCCTTTATTACACGACACGAAAAAAGCGAACAAAACAAACTGAAATGCGATAAAACACACCAGAAGACATCAGCGCTTGATACTTTTGAGCCTACAAACCTTGAAAGAAAACCCCTGAAAAGGAGATGCAGACGCATGTAAACATGATGTTCAAATGCTTGCATATTGTAAAATTAAGCCGACATTCACAAGCCGGATGTATATCTTGTGCCACCTTGGTTTATACCGAGTCAGTTGACCACCGTCCCTCGGAAGATCACGATCATTGGTGACTGAACGCACAGCTCTGCAGTCAGCGGCTGGACGCGGAGCAGCTCTGCAGTCAGCAGCAGGGTACGGAGCAGCCCGGAAGTCAGCGGAAGGGTGCGGAGCAGCTCTGCAGTCAGCAGCAGGGTACGGAGCAGCCCGGAAGTCAGCGGAAGGGTACGGAGCAGCTCGGCAGTCGCGGCTGGGTACGGAGCAGCTCTGCAGTCAGCGGCTGGGCGCGGAGTGGGTCCGCTCGGCTCCGCCGGCCGGGACACGGATACAGCAGCCGCGTCCCCACTGCCGAGTGCGTGCCGATGAATACCGAGCAGGCACGTGCCTGGGCCAGGCCCGGCAGCTCTCGAAGCAGGCACGTGTCTGGGCCGGGACCCGGCAGCTCCTACAGCTCTCAGGCCTGGCAGCCCTGGCAACAGGCCTGGAGGGTGAGGGAGCAGGCCTGGCTGCGCTGGGAGCAGGACCCAGCTGATCTGGGAGCAAGACCCGTCTGGTCTGGGAGTAGGACCCAGCTGAGCTCGGAGCAGGAACCGGCTGAGCTGGGAGTAGGACCCAGCTGAGCTGGGTGTAGGACCCGGCTGATCTGGGAGCGACCCGACTGAGCTGGGAGCAGGACCTGTCTGAGCTGGGAGCAGGACCTGTCTGAGCTGGGAGTAGGAACCCGACTGAGCTGGGAGCAGGACACGGCTGAGCTGTTGAGCAGAGCCCGGCTGAGCTGAGACCAGGACCCGGCTGAGCTGGGAACGGGACCCGGCTGAGCTG